CAGAGGAACATCATTTAACTGGACAGATACGACACTCATAAACAGTACCTCTATTTTGTCTAGAGTCTTGTCTTGTTACAGTCTGCTAACCTTCCACAGCACTATTTATTACGTACTGCGTGTTACAACATCTCAGCTTACATCTCCAGAAAGCCACTCCCGGCAGCTTCACATAGATGTAAGAAGATAAGATGGTACCATAAAAGACTCCAAAGCCCAAATGCTATGAGGCAGAAGAATAACCTCCCAGCACCTTCTTCTGGAAATGACCATCTAAATCAGATCAAATAAAATCAACCTTTATTGTCAGAGTACAACATGTGTTCAGTGACATTGGCTGAGTCTCCCTTCGTGCACCCCCACAACACAACTCACAGTGAAGACAAAAAAGAAAAAATCCCCAACCCAGTGAATTCTACTAACAAACACGCTATCTATACATCATAGTAGGAGTCACACCAGAGTCACTTGTTGAGATGGGCAGCCATAGGAATGGAATAACTAAATAAAGCTTCTGCCATTCCAGGAGGATACCATGGTCAGTGGTATTAAAAGCTGCTGACAGGTCCAAGAGGATCAACAGAGTCACACTCAGCTTGTCCTTTTCTTGACACAGTTCACAGGATGACTTTACACTAGTTTCTATTCAGTTTCTTGCCAAGTCTGCAAGTGGTTTGAAATGGATCTAGAAAATCAGTTTAAACCAAGACAACCTGGTTGATTAACCATCATGATACAAAGAGACATGCTGAATATACTGCATAGTTGCCTGTTATGTAACAGGTAGCAGATTAAAAGTGTTAATATAATTGTTGGTGTAAAATTAGGGGTGGGATGGGGAGAGAACCACCAATTCCTTCTCAGGTTGCTTGCATCCTACTTTTACTAAGAAAAATAATAGCCCAGCCCACATCCTTAAGTGGGATATCTTAAGATACTATACAATAAAGCTCCCAAACTTTCTTCTTTAACTTACCTAGTTAAGAAACTGGACTTTTTTGAGCAGTGACCTTACTAAACTTAAGCAAAAATATTTTTATTGATCAATTTAAACAATTCATATAGCTGCCCATTTCCCAATGACTAAATGGTAAAAACCAAATAATACAATATAAAATGAATACCCAGAATAAACAGTATGTAAGGACTAACATCATTCCAAGTCTATCCAAAGACTGGAACTCACACATTCTCAACCCTGCTTAATCTTCCAATCCAAAATCCTGAGGCAATTAGGTCTCTAGTGCCTTATGAAAGACCAACAGGATCAAGACCATTCTCAATCTCTAGGCTAACGTTGTTCCAAGGGCAAGTGCTGTGGCAGAGATAACATGATTCGTAGGCCTCATAATATGTCAGTGCTGAATAGATGAGCTCTGGAGCATGGCCACTCTGCTAATTTTGGTGGTATGAGCAGAGATAATTGAAACAAGCAGACCCACAAATAATGTCCTTTGCTATGTAGGGTTTTATGGGTGATCATCAGCCCCTAAAACTGCACCCAGAAGCCTTCTGGGAGCCACTGCAGCTCACAGATCAGAATAATATATGAGTATATTGTGAAACTCCCCAAACTGCCTGCCTTTTTGCATTCTGGACTAATTCAAGGGCAACTCAGTATAGAGTGTATTACAGTCGTCCAAACTCCTAACTCAAAAAACAGCACAATTGTTGCTCAAGAAGAACTTCTTTTTCAGTAGGAGCTGTGAGTCCAGGAAGCCTCAAAAATTGCTCATCCAGATCCCCAGAACTTCCAGACATCAAGAAAAACCCTCAACAACATTATTTGGCTGATCCAAGATGGATATGCATAATTGCCAATGTACTGGTGATGCCTCACCCTGTGATGCCTTGCCCTGTGTCTAAAGGTGACTTTGCTCAGTGGATTCATGTAGAGATTTTTAAAAAGTAGGGAGAGGGTAGCAGAGTCTTAAGTTCAGCCTTTCCATACCCTTTTCCATCATATCTGGAAAGGCCCTGGGGGAAATGAGGAAACTATTATAATATTGTACATCTTATAGGAAATACAGGGACATCCTGATCGTTCAAACTGATTGCAGATTTCTTTGCCCTGGTGAACATCTTCTGAAAACCAGAGAATCTTGATAAATATCATGGTCTCTTTTTCACTGTAATCGACAATATGCTTATATTGGAGAAGAAGGCTAAGTAACTTCTCTATTGAGAAAAAGAACCATTGAAACAATGTACCGTATTTCCCCATGTATAAGCACCCCCTTTGTATAAGCCACCCCCCCAATTTTTGGACTGTGAAGTTTTGAAAAAAATATTTTATTAGAGAAACAAGTTATGAAGAAAGAAAATTTACAAAGAAACAAAATTCGACATCTAGATCTACAACTTCGGTCATGACGCCGAAAGCGGTGCGGGCGACGCTAGCAATCTACGCATCGGAACGAGAGTAGGAACGAAGCATTCAAGCCGATGCCTAGCGTATGCATTTCTATCGCGTACTCACACTCGTAATCGTATCATCACTTACAATTTTTACAAAAAAGTATAGCGTACTGCTGGAAAACCAGTTTATTCCTACTTTATTATTTTATGCATTTTTCACGTATAAAAAGTGTACCTGCTTTGTATATGCCACCCCCCTACTTTTTGGGCTTGAAAATTTTGGAAAAAAGGGGTGGCTTATACATGGGGAAATACAGTAGTTGTTCGAAATTTTGAAGGCATGCCTTTTCAGTGGCCTCTGCTGAACGTCCCTGCTTTTTGGAATAGTGTTCTGATATGGATGGCTGCAATAGCTGAATAAGCCAAATAAATTAAAGCAAATTACAGTCATGGTCACTATTTTATTGTTTCAGCAGGTCTCTTTTAATGTACATGTTGCTTTTGTTTTGTGTTTGTTGATTATTTTTGTATACAATACAGAATCATGTTGAATTGGGCAGACATAAAATGTCCCAAATAAATTAACCATAACAACAGATAATCAGAGTTGGAAGGGACCTTGTAGGTCATCTAGTCCAACCCCACCACCCAAGCAGGAGACCTTACACCATTTCTGACAAATGGCAGTCCAATCTCTTCTTGAAAGTCTCAAGTGATGGTGCTCCCACAACTTCTGAGGACAAGCTGTTCCATTGGTTGATTGGTCTCACTTGCAGAAAGTTTCTCCTTATTTCCAGGTTAAAAGTTTCTCCTTATTTCCAAGTTAAAATATTAAATATTTTAAATAATATGAAATATTATGGAAATAATAAGTATCCTTAATGTAGGGATTGATGAGAGGTTTCTATTTAGCCTACTTCATCTTATACATTTTGGCTTATTTCTTGCTTTTTAAACCAAATAAAGTACAGATGAGAATGGACAGATCTCTGTCCTTCCAAAGCTTTCAAAATGATTTTGAAAGTTGTCACATGATCACATTGTATGAAATCCTGCTTATAATATTTCAGAAAACTTGGAGTACATGTTTTTAAAAAATGTGCAGGTAGGGAAAATAGGCATTGGGTAGTAATATAATGAAACCATTGAATTATGCAAAGTTGGGGCATCAGTCCAGATGGGGTTTTTTTAAGTTTTTGAGAGGATGGCTTATTTTCTTGCATTTGTTTTTTCAGATCTGTGAAACCTGAATAAGTTTTACACGCTATTTTGTTCTTCAACTGAAAATATATGGGAAATGTTATCAACATTTCTCAATGCTAATACTATGGCATATGAGTTTGGGAGCTTCGTGTAACCAATAACCCACAATATTAAATGCTTTATATTGAGGTGTTTTATATTTCTATTAAACAACATGTGACCCATTAAACAACATGTAACCCAGTCCTTTCATAGATATTTCCTTACCTAAACAGAGAAATAGAATGACTATGGGTAGGCAAAAAGGAGTGGGAGCGTTAGCAATTATCACCTTCCTGCTGGCTTCTCCATTTTTATCACCTTCCTGCTGACTTTTCCATTGATGTTGCTTGTGAGAAGTTGGCAAGGAGTATAAGAAATCAGACCACCACCTCCTCCTCCTTGACTGACCCAGGGCACTGTATGCCACTTTGCTGGGGGAAGGGGGAACAAAAGGAGCCATGAATCATGAGGAAAACTATCCCTGCATCACAACTGGGTCTGTCCCTAAGGGCCCTCTCCCTACAGGGAGGAAGAGGACTCACCCATCAACTTCTAAGCCACCTCAGCCAGGCCTATCTTGCCAGCAGCATCCAAGTTGCTTCCTTGTCCTTCCCTCATCACCCACTGCTATTAAGAAATATCAAATTTCAACCTCAATTGCAAAGCAGCCAACCCCAACCAGCTGATTGCATGCAGGGACTAGAGAGGCAGGAAAGGCGACAGGGATACTTCCCTCCCATCTTATCTTGTTCCACACAGTCTATGGGTTTCTGAGAAATGTGGTCTGTTGGCATTGTGGTGCAGAAGCAGCCACAACTTTTCCAAATTTCATTCCTGTAGGAGTCATAGATTCTGGCATTCTGTAACTTAGTTCATCTGAATTATCTTGGTTCAATAACTGTTGTCCTATAACTTCCAAATTCTCCCAGTTGAACGGTACAAACAAACACTCAAAGGTTTGTTATTATATAAACAACCATATAATTTCTATTTAGATTTCATTACCCAAAATTGATTATAAATTTGGTCATACAGTGTTTACATCTCTCAACTAATTATTAGAAAAATTATCCTTATATCCCAGAAAAAAATGTGAGAGACCTGGTAAGAACATGAGGTGGGAAGATCTCAGTTCAAATTTTATCTAAACTGTGAATTTATGAGATGTAGTCTTACCTTTAATCTTTTTTCTTTTTTTTGTTATTTGTTTAAAATGAATAACATTTTTGTAACGTGTTAGGGAAGGTTTATGAAGGTGCTAATTAAGTAGTTGGGGAGTGTTACATAAAAATAATTATAATATGTGGCTGGTGTAAATTGGTCTTATAAGCTATTAAAATGTGAAAATACTTCTGAGCCTTGTTTTAATTAACTCAGTTTCCCCCTCTTTCTTTCAGAATTTTTGTGGATGCTTCCTTTATTCAGAACTTGGAAGAAAACCTGCTACTTTTTAATGGCTGCCGCTGCTGGATGATCATCTGAAACTCTTAATAGAAGAGAAAATATTGCCAGATGGTTTTCTGTAGGCTTTTTGTAAATGAGTGAAGGAAGAAATGCCTCTACCTTTTGGGCTGAAGTTGAAACGAACTCGACGCTATACAGTATCTAGCAAGAGCTGCTTGGTAGCCCGCATTCATCTACTTAACAATGAGTTTGTGGAGTTCACACTATCGGTGGAAAGCACTGGGCAGGAAAGTCTGGAGGCTGTGGCACAGAGACTTGAACTTCGAGAGGTAGGAAACATGGCTGTTGCCATCTCCACCTTGGAATATAAGAGGATTAAAAACTAAATTGTAGTAGGTCAGATTCAATTTTAAATTTACACTATTATTATTGTCTGCTATCTACAATATGTATTCAAGTGTATTGAACAAACAGCAATCTTGTCACCTGTCACACAGTTATTTTTGACTGAAAGTAGCAGGAATTTGAACCTGATCTTTTATGCACAAAACAAAGCAGGCTTTCAGTCAGTGATGTAGAGTTCCTCCATTTTTCTGCACAATGGCTTCCCTAACATTATTTGGTTTTGACATTGTTCATTGCCCAAAGTCCATTGGATTGAGATATGCCGCTATAGAAATTGAATAAATAAATAAATAAATAAATAAATAAATAAAGCATTCACATAAACAAAACTGGATTTTGCAATTAAAAAATATCTCTACAAGTGTACCTGCATGTAGCAAAAGCTATAAAGAATCTTCAATAATAATGGGTTGTGCTATAAATACCTGAGAGATTATACTTAGATTGCCTGGAGTAATAAGGTTACAGTCTAGGAACAGATAATATTAAAAACAAGAAGAGAAATAGAAACAAATGTATTCTTAACTTTAACAAGAGCAGTTCCATTGAAATGAAGTAATGCCTTACTTACCTGTGAAGTGTGTAGTGATTATAATATATATCTAACAAGATTCTGCTTCATATTTATACTCTCCAATGAACATCACTGACATGGTTGTTTGTACTGTCTTGAGTTCATTAAAATTTTAGTAATTATCAGTACATAATTGTTAATTCAACAATTGGGCAAAATGTTGCGCTAGTATCCCATTATTATTTTGTTCAGTTTTCCAACCAATGAGCCAGCTGTATTTTTTTCAGCATATTCAACTCCCACTCTGAACAGATTACAGACCGATATTGATAACACCAAATGCGTTAAATACAACAGGTGGGGCTCTTTAGATTTATTTGCCTCTGAAGATTTTTCTATGTTTATAAGGGTAAATATTAGAGTTCTGTCTCTTGTTTTTCAGTAACTTATTTTTCATTAGCTAATTAGTCCCAAAGGTGCTTTTTTCAAGAGACACCTGGACTTTCTGGTTTTTCTTTTTTCTTTGAAAATGTTTCGCTTCTCATCCAAGAAGCTTCTTTAGTTCTGATTGGATGATGAGGAATGGAAGGATTTATACTCCTTGCAGACATGGACATTTGCATTCTTTTAGCCGGTTGTTAATGTCACCTGGAGGTTTATCTGTGTCATCAGGGTCATCTGAGTACTACAAATTGGTGTGGCACCTTCTTGGAAGTGTTGAAAAGACTGTGCTGGAGATAGATGATGTCATTTCTTATCCCCTCTGTTGACAGAGGGCTGTTCAGTTTTGACACAGATGGCTTCTTTAGCCCCACTTTCAAACCAGCAATCCTCTCTGTCTAAAATATGGACTTTGTTGTCTTCAAAAGAGTGACCTATGTCTTTCAAATGCAGATGGACTGCTGAATCTAGTCCTGATGTGTTTGTTCTCCTATGTTGTGCCATGCGTTTTGATTCCCACCACCCACCACAGCACAAAATGGAAGTCATCAGAACCTTACATCACCAAGCTGAAGGCCTGCCTAACAGCAAAGGTGGAAAGAAAAACAACGTAAACTTATCAAGGAAGCCCTCAGAACATGTGGCTATCCCAAGTGAGACTTCATCAAATCCCCCCCAAAACCCTATAGGAGCTCTTCTGTAACAGACAATGATGAGAACAATAAAGGAAGCAACGCTGTAATTCTGTACATTGCAGGCATATTGGAAAAGCTCAAGAGGATCTTTAGTCAACAAAGGATACGTGTACACTTCAAACCCAAGAATACACTAAAGCAGAAGTTTGTCCACTCCAAGGATAAACACTCAGACAGAAACTGAGCAACGTGGTATATAGTAGTACAATGCAATGAGCCATGTGCAGATCTGTACATTGGTAAAACGAAATAACCACTTCATAAACGCATGGCACAACATAGGAGAACAAACACATCAGCACTAGAGTTTTCTACTATGACCAGATATCTTGTCTGTTTGAGGGGATTTGTTTTTAAATTTCATTTTATTTCTACTTTATCCTAAGGAGCCTAGGAAAGCATACCTTTAAAATACAAGGTAGATTAGGCTGAAGGAGAAACTTTGATTTAAGGTAATATAAAAAATATAAACAGTAAATAGAATGTAATCTAAACCAAGACTGATATGAGGATGTCGAGATAGTCTCTTGCCTTGACACATTATTAATAAATGTAATGTGAACTTGTGAACCTTAGTGTTTCTAGGTACCGGTTAACATTTCTCTTCAAAACATAATATTTGAAATATTATGAAGAGGACATTAACTAATACATCCTATTGTATAGTTATATTTCCTACTTCTAGATTTGTATTTTGGTTCAAGTTAGTAAAAAATAGGTCACGAATTAGTGAAGAAAATTCTTTTTTTGTCTTTGTGGCTTATTTTGTTACAAGTGTTTATTGGGAGCTTTAAAAAATATTCTGGGAGCAGATATTTCTAGCAGTCCCAGTACTGTGGACTATTTATATCTCACATTACATGTTTCTAATTAGTTGGCAAAGTTAATAGCCTTTTAAGTAAGTGAGACACTGAGTCCTGACATTTTTGAACAATTGCTTAAAGTAATTACATTATGCAATCATAAATGCTTTCTTCTAGAATACTAGGACTACACTACATCACATGATAAGCCGTTCTGAAAGATAAACAGATTCCTGTGGTTATTTGAACTTAAAAAGCTAGTTGTAGGAATTGAGGTCCCCGACCCCCTTGCCTTGTTTTTGCTAATCCTCCTTCATCTGAGGCTGCTTGAGTCAATCTCCAGCAGCTGATGTTTTGCATCACTTTTGTGAAGCAATTTGTTATGTGGTTTGAACTGTTTAGAGCAGGGGTGTCCAACCTTGGCAACTTTAAGACTCAACTCCCAGAATTCCTCAGCCAGCAAAGCTGGTTTAGAGTATAGTGTGAAAATATCTTAACAATACTTGGAAATATTTTATATTCTCAGTTTCAAGAAATATAACTTAAAATATCCATCTAGTTAGAGTCTTCTTAGTTATCAAGATTAAGTAAATACATTGTAACAGTCTTAATACCATTATCAAAGAATGAATCAGTACAATATTGTGATATATATATATATATATATATATCAGTCACATAGCCAGTCACATGCTTTGCAACTGGCATGCGATTTCACAGGTAAAAACTGTAAGTTCAGGCACGATTCACTTAGTAATTGCATTACGTTACTTCATGATCAAAGGGGAAGTAAGGTGTAAGCCTAGTCATGGTCACATGACTTTCAGCTGAGTGACCAAGTTGCTAGTCCCAATAGTGCTCACTAAGCAAGGACTAGCTGTAGTAAGAGAGAGACATGTATCTGCATGCTTACACATGTAGTCAGATTGTTACTGTAATAGATCACGATCCCAGCTTGAATAATTGACTATCCTAATGCAGAGCAAGTGTAGATACACACAGACTCTACAGCAGTGGTCACCAACTGGTGGGCCCACTGGTGGGCCATGAGAAAATTTTGGTGGGCTGCAGAGAAATCTCACCCCCAGAGCACCCCCCCAAAGCAATTAATCCAGGCTGTACAGAAACACAAGGCTGCGCCACCCCCATGGCCTGCAGGAACCCTCCCCGCCCACTCACTCCTTACCTGGCAAACTTGCCTGCTAAATTGCTACTTTTCCTTTTTCCGACCATCAAGTGTTGGGTTGGATTTCTTGCTTTCTAGCTAGTATTTAGAACTTTGGCTGTGCTTTTAAGCCTCCCTTAGGCCTAAAGGTTCTATTATTCAGTACAGACTCACGGCAAGCAAATTTGAGAGACTGAGCTAGCCGATGGCAGATAGATCACTGAATGATTCTGTGAGCAACTCAGTCTGCCTGCCTGATTTGCCTGATTTTGGGTAAAAGTTGCTCTTTTTTAAATAAAAAAAAAATCAATATTTACATACATGGTGTGTTGTGAGTTAGTTTTGTGAGTTTGCTTGCTAGTAAATTTTGTGTGACAGACTCAGATATCCGATTGCTGATAGATAGATCTCTAAGTGAATCTGTGATTCTGTGAGCAACTCAATCTGCCTGCCTGCTTTGCCTGCTTTTGGATAAAAGTTCTTTTTTTAATAAAAAATTCAATATTTATATAAATATTTATAATATTTACATACAAGCCATGCCCAGCCAGTCACATGACCACCAAGCCACACCTACAAATTAGGCCATGCCCACAGAACCAGTTAGTGGTCCCTGGGATTTAAAATTATGACTTTGGTGGTCCCTGAGGTCCAAAAGGTTGGTGACCCCTGCTCTATAGTACCTAGGCATGGCTGAGAAATGCTAAAAAAGATCTTGCACATCATTTAAGTGAATTCAAGAGATGTAAGTGAAGTCAAATATAGTGTAGAAAGTTACAGATTAAATTGGGTTTGCAAACTTTGCAGCACCACCATGTCTGAAAATGACAAAACCATGTGAGAAGAAATGCACCTACTCTCAATAATTTTCAATCTGTATAGCAAATGAAACAATGATAGAATCCTAACAACATAGAATCAGTTTGGTATAATAGTTAAGGCATCATGGTAGAAACCAACAGCTGAGTTTTAGTCTTGCCTTAGGCACGAAGCCAGCTGGGTAACCTGGGGCCAGTCATTCTCAGCCCTAGGAAGCAGCCAATGGCAAACCACTTCTGAAACATTGGCAAGAAAATTATAGAGACTTTCCAGGCAGTTGTCTAGAGTCAAAAAAAAAAACTGGCTCAAAAAACACTTTCCATTTGAAGTGAAAAACAAAGCAACTAAATTCAGAACCATACTACTTAATCTAAAGGATCAACCTGCCAGTCTGTACAACTCCTGAAATTCAGGTTGTGCTTTCAAGGTAGCTATTTGCTTCCTTTCTCTCCACCCTTACCTTGGAACAATATCTGTTATTTACATCAACAGCTATGTGGGATCCTGACCTGCCCAAGCAGAGTGTGAACAAATTCTGGCAGTAATTTGGCCCCAGCTGTGCATTGTGCCAGAGCCCTTCTATGTCATCTTAACATTGATCCAGCCATGATTACAGTCAACTTAGGCTTCCATGGCAGGATCTCTGTGGACCCACATTGAAGAGGTGTCAGATCAGATTCCTATTCTGCCAAGAGAAATGCCTGCCTAGATTGATTGGGAACAAATTCTTGTGCTCCAAACCATTTCTGGCATCCCCCTTAAATCTGTTCATGAACATTGCCCACTAAAAAATGTTTGTACAAGGCAGATATAAACATGAGGCAGATATAAGCATAATTCCTTTTACCCATTTGACAGAGCAGTGTTTTTTCAGCTGTACTTGTTGAAGTACAGCTCCTAGTACCTCCAGCTAACCATTGCCAATTATGAGGAATTCTAAAGAACTTGTGAGAGATTCTTCTCACACTGATAGAGTCTGCAGGTATTAAAACAGGGAACACATGCAGACTTCTTCATGGAAGAGGCAAGTTTCTAACCCACTGCATTGAAACAAACATGAAAAAATGAACAAGCGTTTTGCCTGTTTCAACTGCCTCTGTGAAAGTATTTCACTTGAAAGTAATCACTGGAATTTTGGGGTTATAACTGTTAACCTTCCTTCTAATAAACGTATTTCACAAAACTCCAAGATTGCTTCTTGAATTAACTATTTTGAAGCAGCCAAGAATGAAGTCTTGACACAGTTATAGTTTCAGCATTAAGTGGAGAGCCTTAATCCCTTCACACTCATTACTGAACTACTTATGTCTATAGAAAGTTCTGAAGTGGAAGAAGAATATCACACAGACTTTGATAACAAACTAGCTGTTAGTGTCATGAGACAAGAGAATTTTTCACGTAGTTTATTTTTTGGAGGAGGAAGATTCATGTCAATTAGAGCACCTGAAGTTATACAATCATTACTGGCAATGAGGTGATTTACATGAGATAATTGTTTACATAGCTGTGATATAATGTTTTGGCCATTTTACGTTTGGTTAAATTGTGAATTAATTTCAACAGGATTTAAATATACTGGTTGGTGAAGTTCTATATGCAAAATATTCATTAACTTGACAGATTAGCAGAATGCTAAGAATCATGCCTAATTTTCAAAGTACACTGCTCAAAAAAATAAAGGGAACACAAAAATAAGACATCCTAGATCTGAATGAATGAAATATTCTTATTAAATACTTTGTTCATTACATAGTTGAATGTGTAGACAACAAAATCACACAAAAATTATCAATGGAAATCAAATTTAGCAACCCATGGAGGTCTGGATTTGGAGTTACACTCAAAATTAAAGTGGAAAAAAGCACTATAGGCTGATCCAACTTTGATGTAATGTTTTTAAAACAAGTCAAAATGAGGCTCAGTAGTGTGTGTGGCCTCCACATGCCTGTATGACCTCCCTACAATGCCTGGGCATGCTTCTGATGAGGTGGCGGATGGTCTCCTGAGGGATCTCCTCCCACACCTGGACTAAAGCATCCCCCAACTCCTGGATAGTCTGTGGTGCAACGTGGCATTGGTGGATGGAGCAAGACATGATGTCCCAGATGTGCTCAATTGGATTCAGGTCTGGGGAATGGGTAGGCCAGTCCATAGCATCAATGCCTTCATCTTGCAGGAACTGCTGACATACTCCAGCCACATGAGGTCATTGTCTTGCATTAGGAGGAACCCAGGGCCAACCGCACCAGCATATAGTCTCACAAGGGGTCTGAGGATCTCATCTCGGTACCTAATGGCAGTCAGGCTACCTCTGGCGAGCACATGGAGGGCTGTGCGGCTCTCTAAAGAAATGCCACCCCACACCATTACTGAGCCACTGCTAAACTGGTCATGCTGGAGGATGTTGCAGGTAGCAGAACGTTCTCCACAGCATCTCCAGACCCTGTCACGTCTGTCACATGTGCTCAGTGTGAACTTGCTTTCATCTGTGAAGAGCACAGGACGCCAGTGATAAATTTGCCAATCTTGGTGTTTTCTGGCAAATGCCAAATGTCCTGCACAGTGTTAAGCACAACCCCCACCTGAGGACGTCGGGCCCTCATACCACCCTCATGGAGTCTGTTTCTGACTGTTTGAGCAGCCACACGTACATTTGTGGCCCGCTGGAGCTCATTTTGCAGGGCTCTGGCAGGGCTCCTCCTGTCCCTCCTTGCACAAAGGCAGAGGTAGTGGTCCTGATGCTGGGTTGTTGCCCTCCTATGGTCTCCTCCACGTCTCCTGATGTACTGGCCTGTCTCGTGGTGGTGCCTCCATGCTCTGGACACTACGCTGACAGACATAGCAAACCTTCTTGCCACAGCTCGCATTGATGTGCCATCCTGGATGAGCTGCACTACCTGAGCCACTTGTGTGGGTTCTAGACTCCATCTCATGCTACCACTAGAGTGAAAGCACCGCCAGCATTCAAAAGTGACCAAACCATCAGCCAGAAAGCATAGGAACTGAGAAGTGGTCACCACCTGCAGAACCACTCCTTTATTGGGGATGTCTTGCTAACTGCCTATGGTTTCCACCTGTTGTCTATTCCATTTACACAACAGCATGTGAAATTGATTGTCAATCAGTGTTGCTACCTGAGGGGACAGTTTGATTTCACAGAAGTGTGATTGACTTGGAGTTACATTGTGTTGTTGTTCCCTTTATTTTTTTGAGCAGTGTGTTATACATTTGTTCTAAGTTTTGAAAGACCTAAAACTAAGAAGAAATTTCCTGACAGAACAATTAATTGTTGATATGACTTGCCTCCAGAAATTATGGGTTTTAAAGAAGAGATTGGACAACCAATTGTCTGAAGTGGTATAGGATTTCCTGATTAAGGAAACGGTTGGACTAGAAGTTGTCCATGGTCCCTTCTAACTCTCTTATTCTGACATATCTCCCTAAGGAATAAATAATACTGTACTACTAGTTTTTCCACATTGTTTTTTTCCTGTATTCATGTATTTTGCACTAGTCCAACCCATTGTTAAGCATTCCCACCACTGGTATTCTTAGATTGAACATCTATGCTGTTTGTTGAGCAGATCAGAAAAATTGCAATTAATGGAATATAATTATGTAAAAATCTGTCTAGGGTTGATTTACTTCCTGCAAATTGAATGAAGACTAATTTTTTAAAATTAAGAAATCTTACAACAGCATTATTCTTGAATGCTTAAAATATTTCTAGAGTTATGTCAGCTTTCTGTAGGACTGGCATATGTCTTTTGCTAATGTTAGCAATTTGTTTAGACATGATTAAAATGTTATTGCCTTTTAATATACTTCACACTGCAAGATTCTTAAATGCAATTAGAGCACCTGAAGCAAAACATACAATTGCAGCTATGAATGTGTATTGGAAAGAGCATATTTTATTCATGTGGAAACCCCTGCTATGAATTATCTAAGCATCCAAAATTGATACCTTTTCCTTTATAGTTCTAGATTGCTATAGAGAGAAATGAGTATGTATCATGTTTATTTTGTAAAGACAAGGATTTTTTAAGGGACTTTTTTCAAAAGGTCTGTGTTTGATTTGTTTTACATGATGATCATGCTGCATATGTAAACATGAATTAAAGATATGCCCTGTTCTCTGCTGATTTCTTAGACTTGTTTATTGTATATAAAAGAATAAAAGGACAATATCTACTCTTTGTGATATACCTTTTTTTCTCTTTTAACATGTCACATGGTTCCTTTTCATATTTTCCTTTTAGATTACCTATTTTAGCCTTTGGTATTTCAACAAGCAGAACCAGCGCAGGTGGATAGACTTGGATAAGCCTCTCAAAAAGCAACTGGATAAATATGCATTGGAGCCAACTGTGTTCTTTGGTGTGGTATTTTATGTGCCTTTTGTCTCTCAACTTCAGCAGGAAATTACCAGGTGAATCTTGTAAGCTTGCATAGAATAATTCTAAATATAAAGTAACTACATTTTACATGACCCTATTGAATCTGATACCAGTTGTTTTCCTATATTCTTTACTATAGATTAGTCTTTCTGGATCTGAACAAAAATCTTTTTGATTAATAATGCATATTATTTCTTTCAAGGGCAGTGGATTTTAGCTCAGATAAACACAAGTAGATTTCCTTTCTTACATGATAAAAAATGTTATCTTACAAAGCTGCTGAGTGAAGTCTCAGATTTGATGTTGAAGTTCTTGGTTGCTTTTTGTCCTAGAAAATAGGAGAAAATACACTGGGATGGCATTATTTGGGAAGCACTGGTTTACACTGCATGGGCTGACTTAAGAATCCAGAGTCTAAGATTTACTTAGAGATGTCAAATATTGAATGTGAACAAGCATTTTACTTTTTTTTTTTTTGCTTAAGTTTTGCATATCTTTGTCACTGAATATTATCAATTTCATGGATGCTTCTTTCATAAATGGAGGAAGGGTGTTGATCAGAGTTAACAGTACCAATGTTTGAAGTCTAGTTATTTCACAAGCATAGTCATCATCATGTGATTTGATGTGTCATAATTCACATTTAAAAATCTTGGAAGTATGATTGAATTGAAGCAATTTACCATGGAAAGGTGGGCTGCTATTTTTACTGAGCAATGTGAGAGATTATTATTATTTGTAGGAAATTATATACTACTAAAACATTTATAACTGTAACTTTCAATTTCATGAAACGGTGTGGCATCAGGCAGCAATGTTTGAATCAAGGTGTTTCAAATGGGCTAAATTATAGAATGTTTAAAAAATCTGGGACCTATTATTTCTGTGGGATTGAAATTTGGAGAAGTTTGCTGCTTTAGCAATGCCATAGTGTTATTTCCAGTGCATCCTGCTAGCTTCTCAAAAGAAAAGCTTATGGGGAAGCTGGCAGAAAGTCTGAAGTTCCAGGTCAGCAGATAAGTATCTGATAACAGGTGGGAAGGTAGTGAGTGGATGCACAGAGGTGGCACTATGCGGGTCAGAGACAATGTGTGAAAAGTGCCATGCAGCTTGGGGAGTATATTCTGGGGCATGTGAGAGATGCCATATAGATTGAGGAGGATGTGCAAGAGACAGTATAGTTTGGGAAGGTTGTGTGAGCTGTGTAAAGGGTGCCCTCTTGCTTGGGGAGGTTACACATGGGTATGGTGCAACTTAGATAAGTGTTGCATGGGTGTGAGTGAGGGCAGAAGGTTAGGGATGCATGAATAAATTAGTAAATATCTCTGAAAGATTACCCAACAGACTATGAATTGTCTAGTTGCTAGTAAATATGATACAAGTAACCAAATCTATAGGAGTTATTACTTTTTCTTACTAACAGACCGTATGTTAAAGAGACTTCAGCATCAAATCTGGGACATCCTTCACCAGTTTAGATTATATAACAATTTTATAGAATAGAAGGCCATGTGCAACAAAGACTATTTTCTTTACCTAGTTCAAGCTCAGACATGATATCTGAATCTGTCGGAAGAATTTAATAGTATACTAATGGATTTAAGTGATGCTTCTTCTCCAACTGATAAATTTTAATGAAGGATAGAATTAGATAAGGCTTAAAAATGGAAATACAAAGAAAGAAATGGTAATGTAGGCTAATTTGTAAGTTAGTAGAAGTGTAATGAAGGGAATGTGTGGAGGATCTATGAGCAAAGAAAAAGAATGCTGCACTTGAGATCCTTGTGAGTTAAGGATTTAATATCAGATGGGGAACATTACCTTAATAGTTTCACTTGTTTATTATTTAGATACAAGGGAGGTTGGCTTCTGCAAAGTCACGCTACTGATTCCAAAATTACTAACTTGCTCAGCAGTTCTCTGGAATCTCATATACTGATTTTTCATATTGCCTGCTGCTTTTTTTTTTTTGTAATGAAAAAACTATGGACTGAATCTGGAATTTCTGCATATACTCCTCTACTAAATTACAATGCCTGGCCTACCATGTATCATATCATATGCATATATCAGTTTATATAATATTATTTTATTTATATATCCTGTTTTTCCCCATATGTTGAAAGTGTTATACATACTTCTTGTTCCATAGAATCATATCAGCAAAACATAATTTCAGGGCCCAACTTGTGTACAATCAACTGTTGATAGCTGAGAAGTAGTAGCATCTTTGTATAGGCATATAAGTATGTACATATATACACATCATAGAATGTTTTTGACTATATGCATTTTCATAAACTGGAGGCATGTGAAAAACATTTTTCCCCATAGATATCAGTATTACCTACAACTAAAGAAAGACATCTTGGAAGGAAACATACCTTGCACTTTTGAACAAGCAATTCATCTTGCTGGCTTAGCTGTTCAAGGTAATTTCCACGCTTGCAATCATGTTTAGCTTATTTAGGAGGAAGGGATTTATATCAGTGCTTGAATGACAGTGCCAGAAAGTCACAAAAGCTGGTTGCATGACCCTGGGATACTGCAAGTGTTATAAATATGAACCAGTTATCAAGGTTTTGAATTTTGATCATGTGACCATGGGGATGCTGCAACAGTTGTAAGTGTTCTTAAAAGCAATCTGAAGTCACTTTTTTCAGTGCCGTTTTAATTTTGAACAGTCACTAAATGAACTGTTTTAAGTCGAGGACTACCTGTATATGGTACTACTCTTGAAGACTACCTGGAAACTTCAGATGGTGCAGAATGCAGCTGTATTTGTACTAATGGGAATGTCCCAACATAATCATATAATACCAACATTATGCATCCTCTACTAGTTACCAATTTGTTTCTTATTGCAGTTTAGGGGCTGGTTATAAGTTATACTTTCCTATGCAAGTCAGAAATTGGGTATTATTGAGACTGCCTCCTGCAGGCAGAATTTGCCCATCCCAAAATATGCAGATTGAAAAAGTTTACTAAGAGTTCTTTCCTCACGAATCACAGGAGAATTGGAAGCAGTCATTCTCTGCCAGACCTTCGTCCGGGGGAACCATTTTTTTCAAGGAATATCAGCTTCCTTACTTTTAAAAAACTTATGAAGATTTTGGAAAATATAGATAAAAGTATCTGGAGTACTTGTGGGCATTGTTGTTTTGTTGTTGTTATTGAGTTAAATATACATGTTTATGTGTATGGGTTTTTGTTATATAGTTTTGTAGGATGCTTAGATTTACTTGATTGAAGCAGGAAAAATACTTCTTTGAGTGAATAAATAAGTATATCCCATCTGGTCTGCAAAAATCTAGATGACCACTAGATCTGAGATTATAGAATTCTTTTTGTATTTCCTTGCTACAGTGGCAGATTAAGGCTCACTGGTGCCTTAAGCACTGACAAATCTTGGTGCCCCCCCCCCTGTACATACTGTACAAACGAAGCCATATTCTCAACTTTGTGGTGACCCCTTTGAGCGTGGTGCCCTAAGCACATGCTTAGTCTGCTTAATGGTTAATACATCACTGCTTTGCTACCTTCTAGTGGTTATCTCTGCTGTGAGTCAGGGGGCTTTAGTTAGAGAACAGCATGTTCTCAGTCACCTAGTACCTCAAGAAACACAGAATTTTAATAGTAATAATAATGTTGCAAGTATGCCCTGATATTGATATTTGAAATGTAGGATGTATGAAGATTCCTATTAATCAATAATATTTTTGCATGGATGTTATGTATGATAGGAAAGATTGGCAAAAAAGATGAATTGTTGGCATGGGAATGGGGAGCCATGAATATTCATTTTATTTTCTATTATACTTTACATGCTCAGAGCAATAATATTGTGCTATATAGAATGTTAATTTTGTCAGCGGGGTAGAAGAAATGCAAGACAATAATTTATGTGACAAGCATTCTGCCTTTTGTATTTATCCCAGCTGACTCTCACATCATAGAGATTCAGCAAATAATTACTTAATTGGACATATATATCATGCAATAATTTAGCTTTCTACACTTCTGTTTCTAAATAAGAAAACAGGAAGTTGTAACGTATCCATTTGTATTGTTTATATGACATGGGAGTTTGGATAGGAATTTTCTCTATGCATGCAATAATTATTTGTGGCCTATTGCTCATCGGTCAAATAATGCTTCATCGCTAACAGAATTACTTTCCAACATAATTATATGTTAAGTATTTCATTTCTGCTTGTTTCTTTTTAATTCCTCAGCTGATTTTGGGGATTATGACCAATATGAATCACAAGAATTTCTACAGAGATTTGCCTTGTTTCCTGTGGTAAGGATGGTCCAGTTTTGTCTTTCTCTCATTTTTGGAGATATTTAAAAGACAGATTAAAAAAAAAAAAAAATCAGTCCTGCCTGCTGATACAGGTAGTCCTTGACTTATGAGCACAATTGAGCCCAAACTTTCTGTTACTAAGCATGACAATTGTTAAGTGAATTGTGTCCTTTTTGCGACATTTCTTGCCACAGTTGTTAAACTAATAACACAGTTGTTAAGTGAATCATGTGACCATGTGGATGCTATAGTGGTAAGTGTGAAAAACAACCATAAATCACATGTTTGTTGTAAATTCAAATATTCACTAAATAAACTGTTGTAAATCGAAGACTAATGTACATCCAGTTTACAATATATATTATTGGAAAGATTTTATATATATAGATAGATAGATAGATAGATAGATAGATAGATAGATAGAGATATAGATATAGATATAGATATAGATATAGATATAGATAGATATAGATATAGATATAGATATAGATATAGATAGATATAGATAGATATAGATATAGATATAGATATAGATATATAAAATATAGATATATATATATAAAATCTTTCCAAAAGAAATCTGTGACTTGGGACATTTGAAATGTGAAAGATAGATTAACACAGATCAAACTATTCAATATGGATCACATCGGAATTCCTTTAAATATCAGAATGGGAAAATTAAAAAAAATGATTTCTCTAATTTCAAACAATGGAAACATTAATTGTTTTGTGCATGTTTTTATGTCATATTAAATATTACCCTTATATGGGTATCATGAATATTTGCTCAGTTTGTTTTCTGTGGATATTTTAAATTATTCACTGTGAATGTTTTAATTATTGATCTTATATAAGTTGCTATGAGTGTATTGGTTTGATGACATATTTATACTGTATATAAATAACTGAAAGAAAGGCAGATGGAGTCGTATGTGTTCATATTTTTAATCAACATCTTACAACAAAAAGAGTTTAGGATGTCAACAATGGATAGAGGAATAAGCACAATGCTTTGTTTTCCATTTTTAAGGGCTGGTTGCAAGATGAGAAGATGTTAGAAGAAGCAACTCAGAAAGTGGCATTACTCCACCAAAAATATAGGTATTGGTTCTGAATTTATGACATTGCTTCAAGTCTGAAAGTTGTCAGATGATTGCATACTTAATTGTAGCTATAAAATAGGGATTTGTTTAAATTAGGATTGATGATGAGAAATCTAGTTTCTATGTTAACAGAAATCTGCTTTGTTAGCCCAGAATCCTTCTTTTGGCCCAGTGATTGAAATCTCGTGAATCTATTTATCATTGTTTTGAAGTAATAGCTACATCAAAAACACTGTAAGCTTACAGTAGGTGTAACATGTATTTTAAACTGTGATCCCAACAAATGAATGTAGGGAATATTTTCAGCATCTTTGTCCTGCTTGATGTGGCTCTTAGGCTACTGAAAACCCTGTTTATTAATAGTTGTAAATATTTAATGCTAGCTTCCATTGATCAGAAAGTCAGGATAAATAGTGATAATCAACTGTGGTTTAAAGGGAAACAGTTTTGCTTTAATAATACTATTATACTTACAAATTGTTTGAATATGGAACATGGATGCCTTAGAATCATTAAGTACAGTTTTTAGAGGCCTAACGTATTCTTTGCATTGGCCCCATGTTTGGAATTTACAACAGATTTACTAAATTCTGCTTATGATACATTTGTAAGAGACCTGAAAATACAAATATCATTTTTGCTCCTTGTAATAGTTTGTATTTTGTGTGTTGTTGTATGGTTGGATTTAAGTAAAAAACTATTGTGATTTCCTTATTTGTAGGTTAGTTTGTTTATATGAAGCAAATTACCAAACTTATTTAAGCCTATTACTGAATTGGCTTAATTTTTTGAATTTATTTTTTGAATTTCTAGAATAGATTGAATCATAAAATAACTCAGTAGTCTGAGTTCATAAGATATGGTGAACTATTGTATGTGTTTGTGCATATACATCTGTTAAGGTTATGAAGATTTAATAGCTGACCAGTTGCTGTAAGGCTGCTGTAAATGCTGATGCAATGGGGATGAGTCAGCAGGGTTACTGCTGCTTTAAGATTAAGGATGGGTCAGCAGGGTTATTGCCACTTTAAGAAGCTGAAGGGAGGCTAGGAGAGGGTCTCTCTCTCTCTCCTCGTGTTCTATCTCCATTGTAGTTCTCCGTGTAGAGTTGAAGATTGATTGCTTGCCTGGTACGTGCCTAACATGTGTATGTATATAGCAGTCTTGTATATAAACCACTGTTAAAAGACAAAGCCTCTGTGTCCTGTGTTTTGCTCCTGGGTTGTCTTACAATAGTAGTCACGCTGCAAACATTCTGACATCGTTTAATCTTCATTGATCTGCTTTATTGTGTTTTGTTAGCGAAAAAAATCACATTTTTGGAGCAATGTATTTATGTAAACTTCAAGTGATATACCCTATATTGATATAGACAGAAACTAAGAAACTAGTTAGCCAGTTAAGTTTTTTTTTCCTTTCCTTTTTTTGAAGGGGCCTCACACCACCTGATGCAGAGATGTTATATATGCAAGAAGTTGAGAGAATGGAAGGTTATGGTGAAGAGACCTACCCTGCTAAGGTAAAAGTTAACTTTACTGAAGGCCTGTGTCAGTCAATGATGTACAAATATGATAATTTATTTCCCTGTTGCATTTTTAATTTTCTTTTTAAAACCTTTAGCAGAAACACTCAGATGTCAGTCCAGAAATAGGATTGAAATTTCCATTTAGAATGCAAAAATTTACACTGAAAATATTCTGGATTTCATGTTAACCAATAAATATAGCAAACATAGTCTTGTAATACATAAAAATTGTATTCTATATCTAATAAACCTAAAAGGCAGGATTTCAAATATATTAAAAAATGAGTTCAGTACATTGACAATTTTGTGTCATCAGTGTGCAACTTACAGTTAGAAGAAGCTATGCAGGTTCTTCCTGGAAGTAATAATATACTGGATGAGGGCAAACAAACTGAAGCTAAACTTAGATAATGCATTCTCAAGCCTAGGAATTAAGTAGCTGACTTATTCTGGAATAGGTACTTTATCCTCTGAGGAACAGGTTCATTATTGGGGGACTAATCTCAATTCCAAATTGTCACTAGAGGCCTTTCGTTGGCCTTTCATTGGTAATGAAAAGATAAGCCTAATTTTCGCTGGTTGCAGGGTATAACCCTTCTGGACTAGGGTAGTCTGGCATCAGTCATCTATCCTCTATCCTCTAATAACTTCAGATTTAGATTACTATAATTTCCTTTTCTGGGCTATCTTTGAAGACAGCATGGAAGCTGCAGTTGTACAAGGCATAAGTATCTGATTGCTAAATGGATTGATGAATGAGATTGCACAACGCTGGTCCTGAAAACATTGTACTCATTGTCAGAAGGTTCCATAGTTGTATTTGAGGTGCTGACTTTATTTAGTCTGTAAAATCCAAAAAGATGAGAGCCCCAATATTAAAATAGCACTTAGAAATAGCACTTATGTATGACTTCACAGTGCTTTACAGCCCTCTCTAGGTGGTTTACAGAGTCAGCATTTTGCCTCCAACAATCCTCATTTTACTGACCTCGGAAGGATGGAAAGCTGAGTCAACCTCAAACCAGTGAAAATCGAACTGCTACAGTCAGCAGAATCAGCCTGCAATTCTGCATTCTAAGCACTGCGCTACCACAGCTCAGGCCACCATGAGCTTCTCTGGGGCTATAAAATCACACCACAGAAGACTTCCCAATAGACCCACAAATTGATTTGGTTTACAGTGTGATGAATCTTTTCAATTAAGGAAGTAACTTCAAAGGGAAGTAAGGATGACCAAAAACTGTCTTTATTTAGATGACAATTAAAGATGTATCCATTCAGCTTGGCAGATAGAAAATATTAGTAACTCTGGGATCTGTGTTTTTTGAATTTCATATTGCAGAGGCATCCCTAGGTAAGATATATCATTCCAGTATTATGCTTAGGAGGATGCCAAATGTTTTGGTATGCAAAAAGGGCAAATACTATTTCTGGGCATGCACAGTGTGTAATCCAAATTAAACCAATAATTGGTTTATAGAACTCTTGTGTAATCCTGCAGGGATTGTGTATATTACTTCTTAAAATTACCTTTTAATTAGTTTTTTTATTATTTGGCAGGATTATTGGTTAATCATTTAATGTTATTTATGTTACTCTTTGATAAATTACTCTGATAATATTTTTGTAATAACTGAATGTTGAAAGCATTAATTATTTAGGGAATTTTTGGATAAGTGATGTATAAGGAAACAAAGCTATTTCCTTATTCTAGGAAGCATTGCCCTCAATAATAGCCTCAAACAATCCCTTCTTGATTAGATAATTAGGTTAACCTGTTGGCATATCATTTTTGCAATATAATTTAAATGTTCATCTAGCTGTGGCTGAATGGTTGCCATACTAACATTAACAACTTACTTTTTTCATTATCATTATTTAGGATAGCCAAGGAAGTGACATATTCATTGGAGCTTGTCTTGATGGAATTTTTGTCAAGCATAAAAATGGTCGGCCTCCTGTAATATTTAGGTGAGTTTTTTCCAAGCAAGATGGGAAGGTGATGTTTTATAATCATAATAATCTTTACGTATTAGAGCTAAGTAAGAACATGTTGCCTGTACTAAAGCCATACAGGATATAAAGCTGTAGTCACACAACTAGTGGGACCTCTACTGTGATTAATTGACATGCCATCAAGTCACATAAATAGATTTCCTCCATAATAATCTGTGCCTAAGCTGGTATTTCAGGTCTTTCAACAATGCACTCATCACCAGTGTGAGTCTATCCACGTTGCTGCTGATTATTCTCTTCTCTTTCCCTCCACCTTTCCCAGCATTAGAACCCTTCTCCAGAGAGTTAGTTCTTCACATAATGTATCTGAAATAGGATAACCTGGACCTGATTATTTGTGTCTCAAGTGGGAACTCTGGGTTGATTTGTTTGTTTCCTTTGCTGTCCACTGTATTCTCAGGGATCTTCAACATTAAGGTTCAAAAGCACCAATACTCTTCCTATCCTGCTTCTTCAGAGTCTAATCTGTGCTATGAAATTCTTGTTTATCTTTCAGTAATTACTGTAGGGATTATTAAATGTGCAATATCTAACTTTTGATCATGGAAAGTGATTGTGTGTTTCTCCCTTCCAAGTTAATAGATAGGGTTCAAAATTCAAGAAATCAGTTTAATTTTAAATCAACTGCCTTCAGTGAGAAGCTCTTTCTGAAGTTGGGGGATCCCTACCTGAGAAAGTCTCAGGAAGAACACAGAAGGATAAGGTTCCAAGCACAGCTGGACAGGAAGATTGAGATCCAAAGACTTCTGACTCCTAACTACTTTTTCCTCCCATGCTTCTATTTTGCCCATATCAATATGAAACTTAAAAGGCTTACAAAGATTCGATGACACAGCTGTGATAAAATAAATTTATAATACAAAAGCCTTTAGTAATAAATAAAATCAGCCAGTGCTAACTCTAGGATTTAAATGACAGTTGCAGCAGCAGCAGCCTCCAGATTCAAACAGTACATCAGTTTTCCCACCCTTAGATTGTAATGAATTAGAGGCACTTGGTTCTCAGAAGAAGAAGTAGCTGGCAGTGGTACATTGCTTCTGATTTCAGGCCACCAGCTTTGGATTTTGCCAGCTCTAGTTGCTGACCAGGAAGAAATGGAAGGGTAGCAAATGATGAGCCTTCTTCCCTGTTTGTAATTATGTAAGACTCTGTCCCTGACCTCAGATGATGTTAGTTCAGTTTTTGCAATTCCTTGTGTGGAGACTAAAGCAAAAGTAAGCAACTTGATTATAGCTTTGATTATAGATTTGAAGTTGAAATATGGAAGCTAACAACTTCTGCAAATGTGTAATAATAGCAAATCAATATATTTTTTTACACAGGGAACTACAACATAATTATGTGTGAAAGCTATGGGTGCTTAAGTTTCTGTCATTATTCTTTTCATATGCAGGTGGCATGACATTGCTAATATGACCCACAACAAATCTTTTTTTGCATTAGAATTAGCCAATAAAGAAGAGACAATCCAATTCCAAACTGTGAGTTTTTATTTTGGTACATTTTAAACAATTGTGATACGAGGAAGAAATCAGATTCTCTATAAATGAGAGTATACTATATAGATATGTCTGTTATGATATATGAGTCTCTATGTACGTGGGAGAGAAAGTTTGTGTATCTGGTGACAGTCTCTTAATTTTTTATATTATTCTGCTATTAGAGCAAATATTAGCATAAGTTATATAATCCATTAGCAACCAACATATTTGGACAGGAACAATTATCTTCATATATTATCCCTACCAATATACATATATCTGTCATATGTTCTGCACTTTGTCACTATAGCATTCAGGGAATTAAAATTTACAGCTCTCTTAGGAGAACTCACTGCCTCTATGTTTTTTAAGAGGATGATTCCAAGCCAGGTTTTTATAATGAAATAATTCCGCTTTATTCAGAGGTATAGATAGCATCATATTTTTTCTATCTCTTGGCCTGTTTTTTCTCTTTATTTATAAAGTACTTGCCAGAAAACAGATAGCTCTGGTTATGGCAAAACATGATTTGTTATTATTATTTCTCTCTGTGTTTGGCTAATATTGCATTATTGATAAGATTGCTATCTTTTATATATTTTAACAATTTTATCAGTTTCGTTGCACTTTTTAAAATGATTTATCACAATCCTACATTTATATGATAAAAGGCGCATGTTTATTTTGAAAAGGAAGAAGAGTCTGCACCTGTTTCCTGTTTTGACAGCCATTTATTCCTATCTCTGTGTGAAGTAACTCTCACAGATATAAAAACATTTTTGTAATGAATTCTGAGGAAGTGCAGTATAAACCTATATTGTGATAATGTGGTACATGACTTGAATTAGTTTTGCATTTGGTTGTTCATATGTGGGGATCATAAAGAAAGCATCTCTAGAGGCAGCAGGCATATGTATCGCAGGGGATTCTGCTTGTCTCTGCTCTGCATGACCTTTATGCTGGGCCCAATTAAGAACCTGCTTTGTTTCACATGTAACTTTTCTGTTTGACAGGAAGATATGGAAACAGCAAAATATGTGTGGAGGATGTGTGTGGCCAGACACAAATTTTACAGATTAAATAAATGTAGCCTGTAAGTACCATATCTTTCAGCTTCTTATCTGCATTTGATATTTATAAATAGTTAATTTATGGTATTTTCTTTTTGAAAGCATATTCCTGATTCTGTGACTTAATTATCTTAGACATTTTGCTTTCAGCATTCACATAAGCAGCTGTGTATGGTGAAAGAGGTTTTCTTGCTGCAGGCTCCGACTAAATGGATTGAACTGTGAGACAATATTACTAGCACATTCTAGAACTATTGTAGAAGAACTAGTGTATGGATTTGCAGTGCTATATGTGCTTATATAACTTATAGGCACCTAAATGCTTAAAACATCTGTAAGCATTGAGATGCTTTAAGATTGTCAGATGGCTTTCCTAGAATCTCAGAATTTAAAAATACAATTGAAAGAAGTGACACGTGTTGTGAATGCTCCAACACTGGAAGTTTTTAAGAAGAGATTGGACAACCGTTTGTCTGAAATGGTATAGGGTTTCCTGCCTAAGCAAGGGGTTGGACTAGAAGACCTCCAAGGTCCCTTCCAACTCTGTTATTTTGTCATTGGAAATAAATTCCATCAGCTCCAAAGATACAGTACTTAGATTTCTGAATGAACATATTAAATTAATGACATCAGAAGATAATCACCACGGCAGTATCTGTTTCTTAGTTGACAGTCTGTGCACCATTTTAGTAGCCACATTCTGAATTGTTATACTTCTAGCAACCCCTTTATAAATTTAAAGAGAATGATGGATCATGGTGCTGATCCATTCTTCATGTTCTGTCTTTTATGAAGAAGAGCCAAGTGTACTGCATTTTGGGTGAAAGCATTCTTACTCTCTGACTTCTTTACCACTTAAGAGACTAACATTGATGGACAGATACTAGCTTGCCTTCTTTGGGGAAAGGACATACAGCACTGGAAACAGGGATAAGGTAGATAGTTGAATCAGTATACAATTTGAATTTGTGTTTTTACTTGTTTAACACATTAGCAGACAGCCTAATTTCAGAAAAAAAATGCCTTTTTCAAGAGCATGGCTTGGCCTCTGTAGGAGATGACATGCTGAAAGCTTTGCTGATCGGTTTGCCCACCATGATCAACTGGCTGTTGATATAGAATTCCCTTCTAGAAGAAATAAAAAAGTTAAATCTTCAGGACAGGTGCTTTGCAATAAACTAAAGGGATCAAAATGTACATGAAAGAACAATGGAGTTTAAAATATCTCTGGCGGATTATTGTAGAATATCTCTGCAGAAGATTGCAACAAGAAAAATACCTTCTGAAGTAGAGGCATTAGGAACAACTGAGAATGATGATTAGATTATATAGTAACATAACTTAACGAGCCTTTCCAGATGTATATTTGTCTGAAATTAACTTAGGATATCAGAGGTAAAAACTCCAGGCTTGCAATTTTTTAAAAAAATACCAAATGATTATTACAATTATGCTTCTTAATGAATTTACCAGAGATAAAATTATTCAGGAAGTCCACAAGCAGAAATAAAAAAAAACTGGGAAAGGTTTTTCTAATACACTAGCCAAATTTCCTTACAAAAAAGAATTATATTCAAGTTTTTATCAGAATTGTTGTTAAAAATGGGAATTTACATTCAAGCTTATAATTTTGAAACCATTCATATGTTCAGGATATGAATGAAACTCTGGCATACTTGAAGAGGACTCCCCCTGAGGAGTAAAAGGAACAATCGTGGAGATTAAAACAAGCAGATACAGATATAAAAGACAAAGGGGAATTCAAACAGATGCAAGAAGAAAGGGGGAAAATAACAAATCAAACTCTTTACATTTAAAGTTAAAGATCTAGAATAGTATATAAAACTTGAACTAACTTGCATTAGGACAAGAATATATATTTCAGGTATAATTGATATTTTAAAACATATCTATTTTATTAGGTGGAGAGGGGTCAGAGAGCAGGAAAAGACTTTCCCATTTATATTGAGAAGGGGTGTTCCCTTGATAATTCCATTGATTCATTCTTGATCTAAGACTGAACAGGGAGGCAGGATTGATTAGGAGGGAAAAAATAGGTTATTCAAAATTTAGGGATCAATCTGGAAGGAAGACTTGTGGAGGAGGATGGATATGACTAGGTCTGGAAATTTCAGAGGGAGAAAAGTAGAAGCAAGATTGTCTCTCTTTATGTTCCAAATAGTTCAGCGCATTAGGAAGGCTTCTGCCTAAGTCATATCTGAATGTTATCTTGTACTTCTAGATTTTTTTAAAAAAACTGCTTCAGCTGCTTTTGTTTAGATAATGATTCCTGCATTTCTCCATCAGGTTAATCTTTACTCCTTTTTGGATTAAGTGTTTTTAAGACATATCTTTTTTTTTTTTTTGGAAGAATGTGTTTAAAGAAACATATAAGCAAAAAATGATTCAATTCGCTCCCAAATGTAAGTTTGGGGGCCAGAATTGCAAATTTTAAAAAGAAACTTCAATAGGTTTTTTTTGTATATTGCAGTCAAATTTGTTGTTAATAAACAATGAATAGTGGATAGATGCATAATAACATCTGGTCTATGGTTTTATTTGATGAAGTTTCTGATAAAATCAATTGTATGACAGGCCAAAGTAGTGGAGAATTGTTTTACAAGAAATAATGGAATGCCATTGTTCATATAAGAGATAGATACTCTGAAAACAGTTTGTAATAAACATTATGGGCATGTTAAAATGTACTAGCAGCGCTAAGTACACTTTTGAAATTCATTTTTAAAAAATGTAAACAAAGAAGAAGAAAGAAGTCTGCTTCAAAGAATAGCCAAGAAATGGAAATGGAGTTATGGAGATAGGCACCACATTTGTTAACTATAATAGGAACTACATTCTATAGGCACTATTATAGGCACTATTATAGTGTCTATAATAGGCATCACATTATAGTGGCTCTAATAGTGCCTACAGAATGTGATGCCTATTATAACAAATGTGATGCCTATTATAGTATTTTTTTATTTTCCTTCTTTGACCTAAAACCCTCCATACTGTAAATAATCAAACAACTTTGCAAAACTTGGTTCTAGAAAACCATAACTTCATAGTCTTTAGCTATCTTTTTCCATTTTTTTGCACTTTCCTGTTAGAAATATTTTAAAGCTTTTGCAGAGAGGGGGAACTAATCTATTTTAAGCCATAAAGTTTAAAAGAAAGAGAAGGGGGATTAATTGTACTAGCCAAAATTGCCAGAATTTCAGGGTTGATCCTTGACAGTCTGAGGGTTACAAAATGAGACTGTGGGGGTGCTTTTGCTCTAGTTGCATACCTCACTCTATTTTGTATGTAATCAATATTCAATGTTAATTATGAAATGAAGAAAATTGTTTATGAAAGATGACGCTGAGCTTCACATCATGAACAGGATTCATAAACTTAATATGTTACATGTACTCAGGTTTACTTCTCAGAATAAATGTGTAACTAGTAAAGTACTTTTCAATCTAACGTTGGAGTTGGGATTTAAGCATGTACAGTACTTAAATTATTTTATAGGAGATATTTTTGTTTCCTGGTTTGCTACACAGCTGACTTTTTTTCTAGTTATGAGGATGCAGAATAGTTATGTATTGTTATCAGAAAAACTATATAAACATGTCTATTAAGTCACCAGGAGTTGTTCAGTTTATGGGAGTTTTTTTAACCTTTCATGTAAATTAGGAATTCTCATTTTAAAATTGCAGTAATAATAATTTTCCTTTTAACTCAGGCCAACTGGTTAAAATCAGAAAACATGCATCCCCATAGCTATCTAACACAACCCTTCTGTAAAAGCAAGCTTACGTTTGCTGCCTAAGAAGAGCTGAGTCTTAATGAAGAAGAGATGTTATCCTTAATAAGCCAACTTTAAAACTTATTATAATGTCACATTTGTTTATAGCCAACATTTTCTTAATGAGCTATTTCATTGCCTATATTTTGTCTGCATGTACCTTGTCTTTAGAGACTCCCCAGATTCTTCGCCTGAGGAAGGCTCTCAGAAATCTTTCCTCATTCTTGCCTTTCCACGCTTTCCAATTCTTTCTCGTCCTTCTCTGCCCAAAGGGTGAGCCAAAACACACAATCTTTCTTTCTTTCTTCTTTCCTCCTGCACACTTTGCATGTCTAGTATTTATAGTGCTCCCATATTTACTTATGCACCCACGGTGATGTGATTTAAAGAAGCCATCCCTTTGGACTTTGATTTCCAATAAATATACCATCTCCCTATCTGTCTGTGCCCTACACATATAAAGAATGTAGGTGTGGGTATGTAAGATTTGTCATTTTGTTTCAGAATAAATATGTTAGGTTATTGTTTACAAGAATAGGTACACATTAGAATATTGTTGATGAGCCAATGATTTCTGTCACAAGTCCAATTAATACAGAACACAAGATAGGCAAAAAGAAATGATTTGGGGGAGCCCTTAAAAACATATTGCTCCTTTTTGTATGTAGGAACAGAGCTGAGTCAGAGAAAGTTCAAAAGCAACAATTTCAGTTAGAATGCATCCATTCACATATCTTAAGCTATCATCCATTTTAGCCATGGTATGAAGAATGATCTATAAACAAGACTAGTAGGTTTTAGGTGAACAACAAATAGCTCCTATTTTCAATTCCTGGCATGTTCTTATCTTTCTAAGGGCACTTGTCATGCATCTCTTTGGACTGGTTAGATATTTGGGAATGGCACAAGAAGAAACCATAAGCCACAGAAATGAGCTTTGCTAAAGTATAGTTCCTATAAGTTAGACAATAAAAAACTACATCTTAACCATGACTTACTGCTTTAAAACTATATAATGTTCACAGATCCCATCTATATATTTTACTACTAGTACGTATTGTACTATCACAATGTTAGTAACTTGCATATCTCTGGAGGAAGGGAGAGAAACCAATCAATAATCGATCACTGCGTGAGACCAGGTTGAAGCTGCTGTGCCTAAAGATATGGAGTCATGTAATCAGGGTGCGCAAAGCCACAAAGCCAGGAATCTGTCTGAAAGATTCCTTAAAGGATGTAAGTAAGAAAGAACTAAGTTGTTAAGGAAACAAAGAAAAAATGTCACCTGGACCAGACAAAAGTAGCTGGGCCTGAGCACATTGAAAACCCTTCCCCAAATCCCACCAACATCTACCAAACGTAACAAGGCAAGAGTAGCTGCCAATTTTGTCAAGGCCTTTGCAGGGATAAAAGGGATCCTGAAGCCCTCCCATTCTTTGAGTTGTGTTTGGATCCAGATTTGGTTGTTTCAAACTCCCTGTAGTGCCTTCCAACCTAGTTGAGAAGGACGTGAGTAAATGTGGATGGATGTAAGTGTGGATGATTGTGTGTGTAGAGCAAATATGAGGGTGGCTATTTTCCCAGGCTCTGAGTAAAGGTGAGTGACTGTAAAGTGAACTTGGGAGTGCATATAACAACGGTCTCACCTGCCTTAATAAAAAAAATGTTTCACATTTGAACATTGTTCTAGTTCAGGGGTGGGCTTCAAAACGTTTAGCAACAGGTTTCTGTCCTGGTGCTGGGTGGGCATGGCCTTGGCGGGCATGGACTAGATGGTCTCCTGCACCATGGCAGGGGGGGCATTTTTGCCCTCCCCAGGCTCCGGAGGCTTTTCTTGAGCCTCCAGGAGGGCGAAAATGGCCTCCCCAGGCTCCAAAGGCTCTCTGGAAGCTGGAAACGGGCCCGGGAGGCCCATTTTTCACCCTCCCTGAGCCTCACCATGCACCCTGCACTTACCTGCATCCAAACAGGCCGCATGGGGACTTGTGGAAGCAGCAGGGTGGGCGGGACCAGTTGGGAGTAGGATTTGGGAGTTCTTCGAACTGTGCAGAGTCTTAGCTAGAGGGTCTCCCGAACCCCTGCGAACCCCAAGCAGCCCACCCCGAGCTAGTTTCCTTCCAGGTGATGAGTTTGAGCACTGCTAATAAAAAAGCATCTTCTCCTCCTTGGGTTTTTTTAATGGAGAAAAACTCTTTGAAATTAATGGCATAAAACTCTTAAAAGATGATGCCTGCTATTTTTGTTCGGAGTTGCTTAAATTACAGGGTTTAGAGGAATACTGTTTTATTTTTCAAATGTTATAACAGGCCATGTGGAGCATTGTATGAAATTCTTATACATCTTACTACTATATTTTTATAATAGATTGATCCATGTGTAGTCTATGTTGATTTGATTTCTCTGGGCTATGATATATCAGTCAATGCAGGCATGGCTTTCTTCAAAAGTGGGTATAATATCTAGCCATGCATGCTGTTTTCTGTCCATGTTTGCCAGTATGTCCTATTCGCTGTTTGATAAAACTACATATAGCATTGTGATTTGACAAAATTAAACCTCCCTTCACCTTCATTTAGTCTATCAATGAACAAAGAAAAGAGGAAGATTGTTTTGAAGTTCACTTAGAAATTCATCAGTTATGATTAATCACATAACTTGTAGTTAGGTTGTAGCTGAATTAGCTACAGTTCAGGTAGATGAACTCTGCTGATGGCTAAGCAATATATATATATATTTATACCACCCATTTATCCAATTAGGTGACTCTGGCTATAAACAATACAATACTGTTTCGTATATCATTTTTCATAATCTGTTGTATTTCTGAAAATTTAAATGTTCTTGCCCCGGTAGTCTAATCCGAATGAATGAAATATTGCTGTGTTATCTGATGAGTATTCATTGTCCTTTTGACTGCTACTGGAAGGGATGCGTATACTAACATATGTGATTTTGATCTGATGCAATATGCTTCCAGCTGTGGATGATTAAATCGACATTCAGTATGTAATGGGAGAAAAATCATTTTATGAATTTGAATTGTTGCAAACTACTCCCCTAAAGATACTTATTCCCACTAGGCATACTGAAATCTATGAATATGCATGAATAGGATGTCACTCCAAAATATGTGTTATGTTATTATACTTTGTAGACAAGCTCAGACAGTGACAGTGAATCCAGTTAGAAGGCGATCAACCTCCAGGTTGTCTCTGGTAAGCACTCCATACGTGAGCTCTTTCTTATTTCTTGAATTTAACCTATTGATAACCATACTTGTTATCAGTTACTCCAGTGAAGTACATTGAGAGATTATAATAAAATCTAGCAATAAATTAGATGAATGCTAAATGTTGTAACAGTATCCTCTTTTATAAAAACTAAGCATATCTCACGATATTTTAGTATTGCACACTTTAGCTTAAGTATATGCATATTCCTCTGCCTGTGCACTGAAATGTAATATACCCAAACACTTTTCAATTATTCTCACTACTTAAAAAGATTTTGCTCAAAACTGCATACAGTACTAAGTTAAAGGAAAAGCAACAAGCTGAACACTAAGTTGTTTCAAGATTTCATAATCTGGATAATTTAGATTTAACCAGAAGACTAAACATTTTGAGAGACTTAAGTAGGTAATCCATTCTGTTGACAATATAATATTCCTGCAATGGCATAGGAAAAAATATATAAAAATTACCATATTTCACAATCTCTTTCATATATTTTCAAGTGTTACTTACATTGGTGAAGCTAAGAATTTAGCAAGTATCTAAATATATAAATTTAAATCTATAAATGCCGAAGAAAATCTAAAGAATACATTATCTTCTTTTTGAAAAATCCTCTTCAATATAACTTAATATATTTTACAACAATGCATGTGTTCCTATAAGCTGCTTTTTCTGGGAAGCAAATCACATTGACTTCCTAAAATCACACATAACTCTGATTCATTATCTAGCCAATCTTGAATTCGGCTTTCTTAACAATGCAAACTGAAGGACACTGCTGATGTACTGATTTTGTTGACTACTCCAGGTTTTTCATAGTAGAACAAATCCATAATAATAATCTGAATTAGTTAATACATATTTATTATTTATTTATAAAAAGTATTGGCCGCCTATCTTGTATCCAATGGCTCTTGATGAAATCAACTGGAATGAAAGGTGCTGCAGTATATTTTATATAAAATTCATATTTCTATATTTGGTTGTATAGATATCCTGATTCAGTTTTCTTTTACAGGCTAGCTCCTTCATCTCTGTAAAACTTTCTTGTACTTTTTAGTTATAATTATCAGAATTGATATTCTTGTGCTCAGGCTTAAAGTGCATGCAGATGTTAGAACTGGAGTAAAGTTTCTTTCTAATGGTTATCTATGTTTACTTCAAGCAGCCCAAACCACAGCCTTATATGATGCCTCCACCACCTCAGTTACACTACAATGGACACTACCCAGAACCTTATGCATCCTCGCAAGGTAAATTTTCAGCATTTTTAAGCAACTGGATTACTTCACAAAAGAACAATTGGAAAATGTGAAATTGGAGGATATTATTGAGGAACCATTAATAGTTAATGGTAGATAGTTCTTGGTATATAGGTAGTCCTCTTGGTATATAGGTAGTCCTCAACTTATGACCACAATTGAGCCCAGAATTTATGTTGCTAAGTGAAACATTTTTAAGGGAGTTTTGCCCCATTTTATGACTTTTCTTGCCACATTTGTTAAGAGAATCATTGCAGTTGTTAAATTAATAACATTGTTGTTAAGTGAATCTGATTTCCCCATTGACTTTGCTTATCAGAAATGCTGATCACATGACCCCTGGACACTGCAACTGTCCTAAACATGAATCAGTTTCCAAGCATCCAAATTTTGATCACGTGACCAAGGGGATGCTACAATTGTTGTAAGCGTGAAAAACCGTCATAAGTCACTTTTTTCAGTGCCATTTGAACGGTCACTAAGTGAACTGTTGGAAGTTGAGGACTACCTGCAATCAGTGGTTGGATTCATATAAAGACATAAAGCAGTATATAAATTCAGCAACTGTGGTTTATTCAATAAACTGTGGTTAAACGAACATGGCTTAGAGCATGCAAACTGCTTAGGACCTGAATAAGGAATTAATTATATGGCTCTCATGTAAGAAGATAAGATGTTGCCTTGTCCCAGATCAAATTGTTTGTTTCATTAGATTGGTTGTTGACACTGGCAGCACCTTTCAAGTTCTCTAATTAAAAAAAATCCATCATGTGATAGCTTGTTGTAAATATTATAGGAAGAGAGCCATGTTTTCTATCATGGCAAAAAAATCTGGGGGAGTCTGCCAGTATCTTTTGTGACAGCAGCCCATGAAAGCCACATTTTATTTTTTAATAAAATGTGTTAGTTAGAAATGTTGTTACCAGACTCCTCCTGATCATGTGCTATCTGCATCCTTAAACTGAATGCTCTGGAGTTTGAACCTGAGTTCTTTTTACAAAATATATATTCTACCACTGAGCATCTGTGTTGTTTACAGCTGGAAAATACAAGAGCATTTTTATAAGAGAAAAATAGAACCAGCGAACTTTATAATTAATAGCCATATTATTCATATTTTAGAGAGACAGTAAGAACTAATTACTAAAAACTTGTTCAGCTGGTATACAGGGAGGAGAATTTTTCATTAGAATAACAGCATTCACTCACAGATATCCTTCTGGAAGCTATGTGCAGGGTCAAGGGCCAAGGTTGTATGTCATTATGAGACAGACAGAGAGACAGAGGGAGGGAGGGAGGTAGAGAAAGAGAGAGAGAGAGAACCAGTTTTTTTTCTCAGGAAGGAAGGGCTGGAGGGAGTGAGCAGACAATATTTTAGATGAATCTGCAATAGTGGTTTTATTTCAATATATGTACGTTTCATTAAATAGAAGCTGCTTTTACCAGTGGTCTGGAATTGAAGGAATGATATCATGATAGCAACTGTTGTTGTTTTTTGTCTTTTTCTACCATTGTGCGGGTATAAATAGATGCCAACATTTATATTCCAGATAATCTCTATGGGACGAACCAGAATGGCTATTACTGCCATTCTCAGACTAGCTTAGACAGAGCACCGCATGACTACAATGGCAGAATCCGCAATGGCAGCGTCTACAGTGCTCACAGCACAAATTCCTTGAATAACCTGCAGCACTACATGCAGCCATCGCCCATGTCCTCCAACCCGAGCATTACTGGCAGTGATGTCCTCCATTCAGATTATGTCCCATCGCATCGACATAGTGCCGTAATACCACCTTCTTATCGGCCTACCCCAGATTATGAGACTGTGATGAAGCAACTAAACCGAGGAATGATGAATTCAGACAAGCAGAGTCATTCAATGAGAAACCTTAATATAGGCAATTCATATGCTTATAGTAGGCCTGATGCCTTGGTGTACAGTCAGCCTGAAATCCGAGAACATGCTAACTTTGCTTCTCCCCATTCTGGTCATTACCCATTTAATCTGAATTACAGCTTCCACAGCCAGTCCTCCTATCCGTATCCCGCTGAAAGGCGCTTGGTAGTTGGAGCCGTGAGTGTTCCTGAGCTAACAAATGTTCAATTGCAAGCCCAAGAATATCCAGCACCAAACATCATGAAGACTCAAGTATACCGCCCTCCGCCTCCTTATCCTTATCCACGACCTGCTAACAGCACACCAGATCTATCCAGGCACTTCTACAGTAGCAATAGCAATCCTGATCTCATCACCCGACGGGTCCATCACTCTGTCCAGACGTTCCAGGAGGACAGCCTACCAGTTGCCCATTCCCTTCAGGAAGTGAGCGAGCCTTTGACATCAGCCCGGCATGCTCAGTTGCAGAAGAGAAACAGCATTGAAATTGCTGGCTTGGCGCACAGTTTTGAGGCCATGAGGATTAAAGAGAGAACCATGTCAGCCTCAACTGCAGATGTGGCTCAGCCAAAGGCGATCCCTTCTGGGTCACAGACTTCTGTATTCCTAGAAAGGGCAAAGCAAGAAGAAATTGAGGAGCAAGAAGACCATGTGAATTATGGGCATAAGAAATCTCTTTCAGATGCAACTATGCTCATTCATAGCAGCGAGGAAGAGGAAGAATGTGAAGACGAAAACAAGGCTAATCCAGCGCTGCCATTTCTCAATGAAAAATCCCAGCTTCCTTCCCTAATGGCATGTTATCCAACTGAATCTTTATTGACCTACCCTTATAGTTCCATTGCTTCATCTCCTGGTCCTTTACATATACATGAACCTAAATTGCACATTACTGAGACTGACAGGAGGGTAAAAGATGTGAGCCCCTCACACATCATGGGTGACTCTCAGGTGCTAAGGAGAGAAGATGGACTGTTAACTCCATCTGTGTCAGAGTCTGACTTAACTATTTCTGCCCGGTATAGAGTACGGAAGGATTCCATAAAGAAGAGACCAATGTCTGAATTACTGTCAGGGAAGAAGAATATTGTAGAAGGGCTGCCTCCTTTAGGGGTGAGTTTTCTCAAGACTGGCTTTTTTTCCTCTTTTTATGTCATATTTGAAAAACTCCCCATGTGAATCAAACAGGAAACCAGTGGCATCATAAGTATATGTCTCTGTTAAGTTTGTCTATTGACAACTTGGCAATGAACATGGGACTGAAGGTATGAAAAGAATATGGATTATTTTCAAGCTATGGTCCCTTTCATGGCCTGGAGAAAACTAGTATACATATTAAATTTATGGAGATCTTGTGTTAATACTCACATAGAAGTAGATTCACATGAATTTTTTAAATGGTCCTACATCCTAAATATAGCTATTATGATTCCCTCATTGCTTCATGAGAAGATTGTTATGTAAGTTTATGGCATATACATATACATATATGCATACACGAGGCAGGGTGGCTCAGCAGTAAAAAAATGGTGAGCTTGTCAGCTGGAAAGACCCAAGTGCCCCACAATGGGGTGAACTCCCCATTCCTGCTCCAGTTCTTATCCACTTACCAGGTCAAAAACATGCAAATGTGAGTAGATAAATAGCTACCACTTGGTGGGAAGGTATAACAATGTTCCGTGTGCCTTGGCCACATGACCACAGAAAATGTCTTCAGGCAATGCTGGCTCCCTTAGCCAAGAAGTGGTGATGAGCACCACCCCCTAGAGTCAAATATGACTGGAAAAAAGGAAATATTTACTTTTATTTAGCATATGTATATCATGTATAGCTATGTTATGATTCATTATTTCATGAAGAGAAATTATACATCTACACACACGCAGAGCCCTAGAGTACCAGGCTTGAATGGGGAAGTGTTCATATTCTTGCATAACTTCAAAGTTTGGACCACTGCACTTTAAGTCTCGCCTAACATACAGCGTTATTTCCTTATTTATATAGAAAAGGGCTTATATCTGCTTCTCCTTGAGTTCCATGGGAAAAAAGCAAGAGTTTAACCATTCTTACTGAATAAATTGATCTCCCTGAAGTTGTACCTACCCTATCCTAATTCTCAATTGTTATTCTCACTGTTCACGAAACTCCACTTTCTTGGGCAAGTCTGTTTATTAATTTGTGAAATTTCAGAAACTTAAGAATGAAATAAAGACAGGCAACATGAAAAGAAGGTTGCCTGGCTATCATTATCTGTAGAACTGTATTGGCCAGAGGATCTGATGGTGTGCCCTTCCTTAGTGTGTGTGTGTGGTGGGGAAAGGTGAAGTACTTTTCTGGTTGTCTCCCAAATTTGTTGCTCCTCCAGCGATCCAGTTTGTCTCTGGTTTCTATCACAATATGTTTTGAAAGATTGTCTTCTTCCAACAGGTCATGAAAAAGAACAGAGCTGAAGCTAAAAAAATAGGACCTTTGAAGTTAGCGGCTCTGAATGGACTAACATTGTCTCGTCTTCCTCTGCCAAGTGAGGGGAAGGAAGAATCTCCCAGAGCAACAAATGATGAACGGGTTGGTCTGAAGTTTGCTTGGAATTGTGGCTGTGTATTGAAAATTCATCTCCAATCAGAGGGGGTATTCAGCAGGTTCTGACCAGTTCTGGAGAACCGGTAGTGGAAATTTTGAGTAGTTTGGAGAACTGGCAAATACCACCTCTGACTGGAGATCTTATAGTATTCTTCCCCTGCCACGCCCACAGAACCGGTAGTAAAAAAAATTTGAATCCCACCACTGTCTCCAATGTTTAGTTATTCAAACTTGCCTATCCAAATTCATTTTGAACACAAGAATAGTATTAGGATTGATCATCAGCTTGTCAATCATCAGTATCTTTTAACTGCTTAGACCAAATATATATTTATTTAAGTTTAATTAGTTATCTACGTACTACTAAAACTCTCTTGCAAAACAGTGCATCACAGGGCAACAATTTTTGAACTAACATGCCTCAAATGGGCTAACATATAAAATGTATCCAAAATCCAGTACCCATGGTTCTCAAAGGAATAAAATTTAGAAAAGTTGTGGTTGGTTTACTGTTGCTGCTGCTGTACTGCCATTGCAGTCATGTGAGCTTTCATTTTCAACGTTCTGTGACAATTTCAGCCAGTTTCACGCCCTCCCCCACCCAGCAGCAAAGGGGAAATTTGCGATAATCTGTGCCAGATTCCCACTGGGAAACTCAGTGGGGAAGCTGTCAGGAAGTGGGACATTGCTTCTACGTTCATTGCTTTTCCCCCCGCCCTTTGTCATTCTATTTCTCTGTTTACATAAAGAAATATCTCTGAAAAGATGACTGAGGCATAGGTTTTATAGTTTTTTTTTTTCATTAGAAATGGTTTAAAAATATTTAGTTAAAATGATATTTGTTTCCTGGAACAAGGGTCCTCAACCCCTGGGCTGCAGCTTACTACGGGGCCTTTTGCCTTTCGGAAGTGATCTGTGGAAGTGGTGCGCAACCGTGTGCATGTGCATCCCATTTGTGTGATCAGCAGGTGACCTCATGTGCGCGCACTCCCATTTGTTTGAGCAGTGGGTGTGTGTACCGGCTGCTTATGCAAATGGAGTTGCACACACACACACTTGCCTGCTGCACACACAGGACCATCTTCTTCCTCCCCCCCCCCCCCCCCTTTTTGCAAAGCAGAAAGTTGGGCAACTGTCCTAGACAGCCTTCATATAGCAAACAGTTGTTAAAAGAAATAGTAGATGGCAACCATTATATTATTATTATTATACTCTTTTGCTATTAGTTCCTTGTTCTGTGTGCCTAAGAATTGAGTCGGTGGCCCTAAACAAACTTTCCAAATTATCCTTGGCTTCATCTCATTTCAGGTATTGGCTGTCTGGAATTTCACTGCTAGGTTTTATTTGTACATGCATCTAAATTATTTAATTTCTATTGGTATGTTTGCCAGCATTTGTAACAACGAGAAGGAACATATACAACTATTTTAAATATGTTACAAATCATTGAGAAATTTGGCTTAAGGGGAAAGACAAGAACGTTTTAGACAAACTCAGATAATGTAAAATGGGAAGTTATATATTAAATGTTTTAAATAACCTATATTTTTTTCACTACCATATATTTATGGAAGGAAAAATCTCTAGTATGATTCCATCTGTGTTTCTGTATTTTTAGTTTAAGGGTTTGGAACAAAGGTTAGACCAAGGGATGGTGTTTACGGAATATGAACGGATTCAGAAGAAAAGGCTTGTAGAAGGTGACTGTTCAATAGCGTGTCTCCCAGAAAATGCAGAAAGGAACCGATTCCAGGATGTGCTTCCTTATGATGACACCAGAGTTGAGCTAGTCCCTACTAAGGAAAATAATACGGGCTATATCAACGCATCACACATTAAGGTAGGGTTAGAAATAAGATGTGTATTCATAAACAATTCTTCCACTTAAATTTCAAAAACTTAAATTTCAAAAAAATATCATTCTCCCCAAGGTCTGAGATCATACTCAAAAAATATATAAGTTAATATAATTGCTTGATAATGATAAAAAAAAATACAGTCCAAGAAAGCACAGATTAGGGACTTGTGGTTGGCTCTATATAAGATTAAGAATGTAACCATAGCATGCTTTTTTAGCCTTATCTTTAGTCTGAATCAACTAAAAAAAGGCATTTCCTGTCCAAGTCCCTCACCTCACCCCCCAAAGTAATGGCCCTAGAAAGCACTCTTTTAATAGTTTTGATTAGTATGGAGGGAACCAGAGGTGGTATTCAGCAGGTTCTGATCAGTTCTGGAGAACTGGTAGCGGAAATTTTGAGTAATTCAGAGAATCAGCAAATACCACTTCTGACTGGCCCAGCCCCCATCTATTCTCTGCCTCCCGAGTCCTAGCTGTTCAGCTGGGTCTTCTTTTGTTGCTCTGCACAGGAGAACGGAGTTGGAAATCAGGCTGGGGGGGTGGGGAGGGAACGGGATTTTGCAGTAACCTTCCCCCAGGAGTGGGGAATGGAGATTTTTACAGCATCCTTCCCCTGCCACGCCCACCAAGCCAGGTCACGCACACAGAACTGGTAGTAAAAAATTTTCAATCCTACCACTGGAGGGAACCATGTTTAAAGGAAAGAATAAACATTTATTTTGTTCCATTTTTAGCATTTAAGCTTTTCAAAATTCTATTTCTGGGATTAAATACAGAAATTAAAGAATATGGGTGCATTTTTTTCTCCCTTTGCATTGTGGACCAGTATCCTTTCATAATCTTGGCATGCATATCCTGTTTTTTATTCTACAGGTCTGTGTCGGGGGCATGGAGTGGGATTATATTGCAACACAAGGTCCTTTGCAGAATACATGCCAAGATTTCTGGCAGATGGTATGGGAGCAAGGGATTGCCATTATAGCCATGGTGACAGCAGAAGAGGTAAATATATCTTCCTGAATCATACCTCCGCCCTCAAAAATATGATTTTGAAATGAATGTACGGGTCAGCCTTTGGTTTAAGCTGATTTTTGTCTTGACTGGATTCCAGAAAATGATGTAGAGAACTAGTATGGAAAATCATTCAAAACCAACACATACTTTATTCAGTTTGGTCCCTTTTAAATGTTTAGGGACTGTAACTACTAGAATTGTTTGCTTGCCTTTTTTACCTGAAAATATGGGAAGTTGCATTGCAATATATCTATAGGACATCAAGTTGGAATGCAACTGATTTAGGAATCAACAGTAGACACCTGGATGCTTTCTGATTCTTGTATCTCATTGACCCGTGCAACTCTCAGCCCAATTTGGATTACAAGGTATTTGAAAAGATAACTTGAAGATGAAGGGGTGAAGAATTACTAAACTCCTTCTCCCAAAGTAATAATTAATAATATATTAAAAATAAGTCTTGTGGAATGTTCCGCAGCTACCTCTTTATTCTTTTGCTGATTAGACATTATATTTGCAGGAAGTTGGCCGAGAAAAAAGTTTCCGATACTGGCCAAGACTTGGTTCAAGGCACAACACAGTGACCTATGGGAGATTCAAGATCACTACTCGCTTCCGGACTGATTCTGGTTGCTATGCCACCACAGGTTTGAAGATCAAACACCTCCTCACAGGACAAGAGAGAACAGTTTGGCATCTTCAGTATACTGACTGGCCAGAGCATGGCTGCCCAGAAGACACAAAAGGGTTTCTGTGTATGTGCTTGCATTTCCTTTCCTTTCCTTTCCTTTCCTTTCCTTTCCTTTCCTTTCCTTTCCTTTCC